TTTGATTTGCCACTTCTCGTTTCCATCTTCTTTTTCTTTTAGTCCCACTCCTGACACCAATTTGTTATGTCTCTGGTCGTTTGTTAATTTCCGGTATAAATTCTTCCCGAGGAACTTCAGCAATACAAGTCCTTTCTTAAATAAAACTAGTTTATTCTTTCTCAATACAACTTTGCAATACACAGAATTTCCACCGTCACTTTAACTTCAATACACGCTATAATTCACAACGAATCACGCACTTTATATACATTCACTACCGCTTGCTTGACTCAATTATCTGTCTCTATATCTACCTATCTGCAATTATTTGATGGGCTTATATACTAAAACAGAGGGCACCTGGAAAAGAGTAGAGTTGCCAGGAAAAGTCATGATCCTTCTAGAAACTCGCGACGTGTTACCAGCGTCACGTGACTTCATAACACTACCATTCTGGGTACAACAGATATCAACTTAAGTTCTTGAGCCTGCAGCTGCACAGAGATCAAAGTACTGTATCTTTAAATCAGCAGCAAAGGTCTGATGTCCAGGAGAGGGTTTCTCCTAGATCCAACAACCATCTATCTCTCTTGGTTGCATTTCTACATGCAAAAAATGTCATTCCTTAAGTCATAAGCATTCCTTTAAACTACTTTACATAAGAGTTTAAATAAGGATAGTACTCATATTAGAAAAAAACCCAGAAAACTTGTGGCGCCAAATTTTGTTGTTCAGTTGAACCTGATTTCTTTAAAAAATATTAGGTAGGTGTGCCATATAACAGAAGGATTGGCAAGATATATTATAAAGTAATGCTTAATTTAATTAATAATATCTAGGCTTGGTGGTTTGGGTGCTTAACTCGCAATTTGAGGGTCTAGGGTGTGAATCCTCATCACTTAACATGCTCGCTCTTTAAGCCATAGAAACATTATAATGTGACAGTCAATCCCACTATTCCTTGGCAAAAGTTGGTGGTGGAAGGTGTTGACTAGCTGCTTCCCTCTAGTCTATCACTGCTAAATTAGAGATGGCTAATGCAGATAGCTTTTGTGTAATTTTGCATGAAATTCAAGCCAAACCAAACTAATACTATCCAAAGTTGAGAAAAGGAACAAAAAAAGTTGATGCAATGTGTAACACATAATGAAACACTTAATTTAGAGAGAAAACACAGATGGTCACCTTTCACTTTAATCATGTGCTGATTAGACTGGCTTTCTTCTTCTTTCAAGAAGTATTCTCAATAACCAATTCACTCTAAATCTAGAACATGACTGTTTAAACCTAATATTGTTTACGTAAATGGAAACATCAGATTTGCTCATAGCAACTGGTGTCTGGTCATTTTCATTCAAGCACATGAGAGGCTGTAACCAGTGGAGGTCACTGTCAGTCGACATTTTTACAAAATGTGATACTTTACAGCCATACTCACTATAAGCAGAATAGACGTTATCTATATAGAATAACAAGGGCAGCTAGAACAAAATGAACTTAACCAAGTTTCTTAACCACGTGTTACAGCACAGACTTAGAATAATCGAAATTTTGTTGAAACATTCTACACATTCAATTAAAATGGGAGAAAATTAATGGTATGCCTGCATACCACAACATAAACGGATCATGATTCATCAGCTTAAGCATCCTGTATCATGATCTAAAATTTTCCCAAAAATTATCTCATACATTATTATTGTGTTTAGAAAAATATTAACACTATGTAACGTATAATAACCTGTCACTGCAATGGAATCCCACTATTCATATAATATTCTTTAAATAATCCAAAAGATTATGAACTTGTTTTTAATACTGTTTACCATCTTTGGGGTCCAATTTTATTAAGTACTTTTATGTTTTTTACCTGTTAAAACATTCATTATAAAAAACTGACAAAAAAAACAAGTTGAAAATGACCCATTGTTTATGTGAAATACATAGGGAAGCCCAGACATAATTGGTGAGATTAACTGCAATATTGATGGTATTTTTGTTTAAATTTGGTGTATGAATTATATTATCAGAGGCTCTGCAAACAAAAAAGACATGGAACCCACAAGCAATTTGATGCATAAATCATTTAGAAAAATGTTTAAAAACCATTTAAGTCCATACCTTTTCGTAAAAAAAAAAACTTAAATATATATTGATTTTTTTTTACATTGGAACCATTTGTTCAATCATGGAGAAATATTCCTTATAAACGAGTTATTGGTTAGATAAGTGTTTCACAAACAGTGGGTTGTGAGGTTTTCAGGGGAGTCACGACCTGTCTGTGTTGAGACAACATTTTTTTTTTTGAGACCTGGAGGTGTCCAAGAGATGTACTTATCACCTTTGTTATAAAGTATTACGAACTGTGCCAAGAAACATCTAGGATATTTTCACCCTTGTAAACATAATGAGGGGTCATCTAGCAAATCCAGCTGAGAAACACTGGGTTAGATAGTCTCTTCTTCTGCAAAATAAATTTTAGCGTATTTTTCTTTTCGCAAAGTCTAATGTTATATCGTTCTGCAGTTAAGATAGTTCAAGTTTAGTTCCAACAAAACATTAAAAATTATGTCACATGTTCTAAGTTTCAATGTCAATAATACTATTTACAAAGAAGAAAACCATTTTTTGAGCCTTTTAAAATCATTACCAAGTTACACTACCTAAACTGTATTACATTTAACTATGTTTCTGCACAAATGATAAAAAAAAAACATTAGCCCCTTTCATTGGGTGCTACCCATTGACATATATTTAAAAGCTCATGATTTGCTGTTATTAGATCTATATTTTGACTTCAATTTAAGATGCTTAGCATCAAAAATGATATAATTATTTTTTTTACTTCTTTCTTACAATTTAAAAAAATCATAATTCACTCTGGAATTCATATACGTTAATAAACTACTGGCCATTAAACATTTGCGTAAATATCATGTGATGTCCAATAGCAAACATAAAATGACACTGAATATACTTCATAAGGCATCTTCACACTTTTACTTATATATGTAGGTTAAGTTCAATACTTTCTATATCTTAAAGACAAAGTGTTTAACTCCTCTTTGTGTATGGATGTGTGGTTATTTATTCATAGAAATTATACAGATGAAGAAGTACTTCTAATAAGGCAGGTATCAATCTGTTAGAGTGTTTTATCATAATGTGATTAACTATTGGAAGCACAGACTTTCCCAAGATTGGAAAGATTAAAACAGTATTGGGTGAAGTTGATACCTCTTGCCCTAGTTATGAGAAAAACACACAAAACACTTTTTACTATTTTCCAACAGCAATGTAGTTTAAATGTAAGCTGACCAAGTTATTTTGATTAGTTCTTATTCTCGTCCCATCCTAACAATTAAAACTTGAACATACCAATATATATTTCTTGTGTGTGGTTTCATATCCCACAATTTTTGTATTATTATTAATATTATTTTCCTAAGATGTTTATGAATGAGTGACTCCTGACTAACATGCTGAATCACAATTTTATTACAAGAATTTTAAACTAAATTGCTTAGAAGTAATAACAAAAATTTCAATGTCTAAAACTTTTTAATTCTAACTGTTAACTCAAGGAATTTTATTTCCAGTGCTTTAATTTTTAGTTGTTGATAATTTTAATCTATTATGCTGATGGCATTTACTTTTTCCAAATTATACTCAGAACATTTTTATCTTTCGACTCCCATTCTGGAAGCTAGTAGCTACAACTATTTCCTGAAACTATTATCAAGAAAGCCATTTTTTTAAGCTTTTATAGCAACTATAAAATACAAAGATAGATTATTGGTACAATATTTTCTTGCTACTGTAACTTTATTAATCCCAATCAAAACTTTCTTCTAGTGCTACACTTAGCACATAATTTTTGGTCATTAAATACCTGTGCTTTGATACCATGTTAAGATATCTTTATCATAACTATTGGAAGCACAGACTTCCCCAAGCTTGATACAATTACAATTTTCTTCACAATCTATTTACATAATATGGACGTTTCTCAAGCTGTGGATGAAGCTTTTCTCTAAATAGTCCTTGTTCATTGCCACACATCTTCTGTAACAACTGTGATGGCTAACCTAATCATTGTAAAAAAATCATCTTCTATTTAATGGGTGAAAATGAGTTGGGTGTTAACCAGCGTGACCTCATCTCACGAATCAATGGCACTGCAAAGAGGAAAGAATAAAACTTTATATATTTCAATACCCTTAATGTTTTCTTTTTTTTTCTTTTCTACTCTGTATAATGTTTCATTCTCAGTATTCAGACTTTTTTAATTTCTTTCAAAAATTGTTTGAGTAGAACTAAATCATCAAACTTGAGTTTATAATCACTTAATGCTATATAAATAAAAACTCAATTGGTTGTCAAATATTTTGTTTTACCTGTGTATGCTACACATTCATCCCAGCCAGGTTTCCTCCAGGCTTCTTCTCTATATTCTTTTCGCTTCTGAAGATCTGGATAGCCTATGGTACCAAGAAAAGCAAGACTTGCTATAATTTCTTGTACAAATGTCCATTACATAAATATACTCTGATACATCAGACAATTAATTTTATGGACATAATGAAAGCAGCAGTTGTCATTGGATCACAAACTTTACAATACAATTAGAGTTAGTCAAGAAACACAGCTTTCAATAAACAAAAATATTTTTCTAGATTTTGTTTCCTATGGTTTTCAAACACAACACGTTTAGCTTTATAGTATGAAAGAACTGGAATTCATTATTATTTAGGATATTTATTATTATTATTAAGGATATTTATTTGATTAGCTTGATGGTTACTGGTTGTTGATTTAATTCCAGTATTGCTCCTTCTGTACTGGTAAAGTGTAGTGTGCTAACAACCAATTTGAAAAAAAAAAAAAATCAGTTCTCATAAAAAGAAACCTTTACATAAAACTGGTGTCAATGTTTATGGAGAACAAAGAAAATGGAGGAATCTAGAAGATCAGAAATGTAGAATGTAACAAAAAAGAGACAGTAAAAGATACAAGGAAGTGAGAAGAGATGTGAAAACTAAGAAAGAATATGAATGGGTTGAAGAGGAAATAAATCAGGAAGGAAATATATAGACTTGGAAGATGATGGAAGGAAAACAAAGAAAAGAAATGGTGAGGTATACTGAACAGTTGGTAAAAGAAGAAGAGAAGACTTAAGAGTAAAAAAATATATAGTAAAAAATGTAAGTAATGGTAGTGAATTTATAGGTGGAAAATGTATTAAAAAAATAAATTAATATAATGAATGTATTGTAGAAAATTATGTATCCCCTTCCTAAAGTAGAGATTTTCTAAGGAAAACAAATTCAAATCAATTCCTAAAATTGGCAGGTTGATCTTAGGAGTTTGCTTTTATAAGTTGGAAAGACTTGTACACATATGAATAAGTATGGTACTAAATCTAATTCTGGAGAATGGCTTAATAATTCTGACTCATGAAATAAAACCCTCCCTTATTTAGCAACAGAAGAATAAAGCCCAAAGGGCTTTTATTTCTCATTAACCTTGTTTGGTCAGTTGAGTCATTATTAGACACCATTTTTTTTCTACAGAATACAGTAACATACTCAGTATATTTTTTTTTGAGGTTTTGATACTTGATTATAAATAATTCATTCATAAATGATATATATGGATTGAAATTCTTCACATATTAAAAACTTTCAGATCATTTCTCTTATCACAACTGGAACAATGGTAAGAGATGTATAAAGTATAAAACCTTGTAATAGAATTAAAGAGAAACCCAACACCACAAGTACCGAGATGCTACATACACAAAAACAATGATTATTAAAACACTGACCACAAATATTTACTAATGCCAATTAGTTCTGTGTTTTTTCTTTAATGTTATGCTGCACGTGTCTCAGAAGTTACACAGTGTTGTGATTGCCTAAAATGTATAGCTAGTATATTTTGTAGGACTCCTAGTCCATTTTTAAGACAAATAGGCAATAACATGAAAATACAGTTTTTTTTTAATAAGCTCAATGGCCACAAAAATATTGGTTTTGCTTAATGTATTTTGAAAGTTACAAATTTTTCAACCTGAACCACATATCCTTATGAAAACATACAATACAAATATGCACATGTGGTTCACACATTGGTTGTAAAAAAAAAAGCTTTAAAGGTCATTTTCACCAAGAAATGGGACCACTTTCAAAATATAGATTTTAAAAGGATGTTCAAGTTTCACTGGGATGACTGATGTTAGCTTCTTCTAATTCAAACTGAAGAAGGATATTGCTATACATGATTTATGCAGGGTGTTCATGATGAGTAAATAACGGTGAAATAATCAGCAACTGCCTAGTTCAGGGTGACACTTGTAAAGAAAGTCTTGGAGGACTAATCTACAAAAGTAGCTCTTTTCTACCTGAGCTGGTTTTGTAGATTAGTCCTTCAAGACTTTCTCTAAAAGTGTCATTTTGAACTAGGCAGTTGCTGGCTTTGATTATTCAAGGGTATTGCAGTTTGACTGAACTTGTCAACAGTGATTGGAAATGAGACAGACAATTTCATGAAAAAAATCACAAGTTCATTAAATACAGGAATCATAAAGAGAGTAACAGAAACGTTTGTTAATCATAAGAGTCAAGATGAGTTGGTAAACTAAAATTTAATCACTGTGAAACTGAAACAGTCAGCCAAGTCAGTTCTCTTCTGAATAAGATAAACTTAAAATTTTTACCCCAGATATGATGAACCATGTAAAGCTGTCCAATTTGGGAGAAATATCCTGCAACAGCATGGGCTTTTCTGAAATTGATACCTCTTGCCCTAGTTTTGAGAGAAACATACATAACACTTTTTATTATTTACCAATAGTAATTTAGTTTAAATGTAAGCTGACTGAACTATAGTTATTTTGATCAGTTCTGATTCTTGTTCCATCCTAATCATTAAAACTTCAACACACCAACATCAAATAAAGCTCACAAAAATCAGTTTGATTAATGCAGCATAAAAAAACCTTGCTACAACTCTAAATAAGGACTTAGATAGTATTTGCTTCACATTACATGACAGGTAAAACAACACTGAAACAGCTTTCTAAAACACATTCACTGATACAAGCTTTTATCAGGTATATGTTATTTACTGAAATTGTTTAGTAAACTGTTTCTTCCAGTTGCATTTGTTAAACTTGAATAATGAAAAACAAAACAAAAAACTCACCAGTTGTTTGCCCATTCAATCATTGTGCCAGGCTGAAAAAAACATGGTATGAATGTCAAATGTTAAAATCAAACATGCCAATAACAGAAAATAAGTGAAAAATACTATTTCTGAATTATATATTCAACATATAAAAAATGTTTAAAGTATAATTTTTAAATAACAGTACCATTGCAATCAAATGCTGTTAATAGAGCATATCCTGGACGTTTAAAATACTAGGAGAATAAAATAATCTCTAAAAAAATATTTTTTCTGCCAAACAAGAAGCATTAATATACTAGCACCTTTATTTCTCTTTTTTTCACATTTGTCAGAAAAAAAATCCACTATTTTAAGAAAAAACTACCTGTATAGTGTTGGTTAGTTAATCAATTGTTTCACTGTTTTGTTA